TTTACTTTGAATTTAATTTGCTCTGCATTTTTAGATTCTGACTCTCGAAGCTTATATCATTGCTCTTACACCTATCTTCTTTTCTAATAAAGGAATTGAAAGCAATAAATTTCCCTCTCAGCCCAGCTTTACCTGAATCCAGCAAATTTTGATATGCTCTGTTTTTTTAATCATTCAATTCAAAATATCTCAAAATGTGATCACCTTGCAGTTTATTCTCTGACCTATGAGCTAATTAGAAACGTATTGTTTATTTCCAAATCCTTGAGATTTTCTAAGTATCTTGTTCTGAATTTTAACTTAATACCATTGTGGTGAGAGTCTGTGTTCCAGCATCTGATATATCTTGGTAACCACAGGATATGCTTTGGAAAAGAATGTGCATCTACAATTATACAGTGTTCTATAAATATTAATTAGGTCAAATTGGTTGATGGTGTTTTTCAAACCTTTTATATTGTCACTTGTCATACCATTTACTGGAAAAAGATGCCAAAATCTTGCAATTATGATTGTGACTTGTTTGTTTCTCTCTTTAGTTCTGAATTTTTGCTTCAGGTATTTTAAAGCTGTTACTAGGTGATGTCTATTTTAGATTATTCTGCTGCCTTGATGAATTAATCCTTGTATCATTATAAAACATCCAGCTTTCTTAATGTTTTTCCAGTCTTTCATTTTAATTTTTTTGTTTTGTTTTGTTTTTTGAAATGGAGTCTCACGCTGTCACCCAGGTAATGGTGCAGTCTCGGCTCACTACAACCTTCGCCTTCTGGGTTGAAGTGATTCTCCTGCTTCAGCCTCCCGAGTAGCTGGGATTACAGGTGCCCGCCACCACACCCGGCTCATTTTTGTATTTTCAGTACAGATGGGGTTTCACCACGTTGGCCAGGCTGGTCTTGAACTCCTGACCTCAGGTGATCCACCCACCTCAGCCTCCCAAAGTGCTGGGATTACAGGCGTGAGCCACACACCCTGCTTTAATCTATCTTTGTATTAGGAGTATCCCTCTTGTAAACAGCATCTAGTTGGATCTTGCTTTTCTAGTCTGAAAAGTCTGCCTCTTCATCAAAGGATTCTTACTATCCATCCATCCACGCTGCCGTGTGTACGTCTGCTCCACGGCAGTTCTCCCCAGTGTGCAGCCTCCGTATTTCGCCTACTCATCCTGCCTGCCGTAAACCCCTGAGTTGCCTCCAACTCTCCCACCAAAAAATGCTGTTGCTCTGAGCATCCCTGTGCAGGCCCCCGGGCAGGGGAAGAGTCTATGTGGGATGCTTGCCTGGCGTGGGATGCTGGTTTACAGGGTTTGCGTGTACTTAAAAGGATTCCAGATTCTACGGTATGTCTATATGGTGGTGGGAATGATCCAGAAGAGAGGACAAGATGATGAGGAAAGAGCGGGAGACTTGCTGGCACCACTTGCCTGAGTAGGCGAGAGGGGTCGGGACCCACTGCAATAGGCAGGTTTGCCTTTGCTGGGAGCAGGCACAGTTCAGCCACGGAGCAGGCAGGGGTGCAGACGTCTGCGCCAGGTGCAGGCAGGTGGGTAGGTGTGGGGTGAGGGCTTGGGGAAGTTTTCCTCCATGGCTTCTGTCTTCTCAGTGAAGTGGGAAGTAACCTGAGGGTAAGGATGGGAGAGGAGATACTGGAAACGTAAGGGGAAGGATGGTATGAAATAGTTATCCTGAGGGTAAGGATGGGAGAGGAGATACGGGAAACGTAAGGGGAAGGATGGTATGAAATAGTTATCCTGAGGGTAAGGATGGGAGATACTGGAAACGTAAGGGGAAGGATGGTATGAAATAGTTATCCTGAGGGTAAGGATGGGAGAGGAGATACTGGAAACGTAAGGGGAAGGATGGTATGAAATAGTTATCCTGAGGGTAAGGATGGGAGAGGAGATACTGGAAACGTAAGGGGAAGGATGGTATGAAATAGTTACCTGAGGGTAAGGATGGGAGAGGAGATACTGGAACGTAAGGGGAAGGATGGTATGAAATAGTTAACCTGAGGGTAAGGATGGGAGAGGAGATACTGGAAGTAAGGGGAAGGAGGTATGAAATAGTTACCTGAGGGTAAGGATGGAGAGGAGATACTGGAAACGTAAGGGGAAGGATGGTATGAAATAGTTATCCTGAGGGTAAGGATGGGAGAGGAGATACTGGAAACGTAAGGGGAAGGATGGTATGAAATAGTTATCCTGAGGGTAAGGATGGGAGAGGAGATACGGGAAACGTAAGGGGAAGGATGGTATGAAATAGTTATCCTGAGGGTAAGGATGGGAGATACTGGAAACGTAAGGGGAAGGATGGTATGAAATAGTTATCCTGAGGGTAAGGATGGAGAGGAGATACTGGAAACGTAAGGGGAAGGATGGTATGAAATAGTTATCCTGAGGGTAAGGATGGGAGATACTGGAAACGTAAGGGGAAGGATGGTATGAAATAGTTATCCTGAGGGTAAGGATGGGAGAGGAGATACTGGAAACGTAAGGGGAAGGATGGTATGAAATAGTTAACCTGAGGGTAAGGATGGGAGAGGAGATACTGGAAGCTTAAGGGGAAGGATGGTATGAAATAGTTAACCTGAGGGTAAGGATGGGAGAGGAGATACTGGAAACGTAAGGGGAAGGACGGTATGAAATAGTTATCCTGAGGGTAAGGATGGGAGAGGAGATACTGGAAACGTAAGGGGAAGGATGGTATGAAATAGTTATCCTGAGGGTAAGGATGGGAGAGGAGATACGGGAAACGTAAGGGGAAGGATGGTATGAAATAGTTATCCTGAGGGTAAGGATGGGAGAGGAGATACGGGAAACGTAAGGGGAAGGATGGTATGAAATAGTTATCCTGAGGTAAGGATGGGAGATACTGGAAACGTAAGGGAAGGATGGTATGAAATATTATCCTGAGGGTAAGGATGGGAGAGGAGATACTGGAAACGTAAGGGGAAGGATGGTATGAAATAGTTATCCTGAGGGTAAGGATGGGAGACACTGGAAACGTAAGGGGAAGGATGGTATGAAATAGTTATCCTGAGGGTAAGGATGGGAGATACGGGAAACGTAAGGGGAAGGATGGTATGAAATAGTTATCCTGAGGGTAAGGATGGGAGAGGAGATACTGGAAACGTAAGGGGAAGGATGGTATGAAATAGTTATCCTGAGGGTAAGGATGGGAGAGGAGATACTGGAAACGTAAGGGGAAGGATGGTATGAAATAGTTAACCTGAGGGTAAGGATGGGAGAGGAGATACTGGAACGTAAGGGGAAGGATGGTATGAAATAGTTACCTGAGGGTAAGGATGGGAGAGGAGATACTGGAAACGTAAGGGGAAGGATGGTATGAAATAGTTATCCTAGGAAGGGGATACTAACGTAAGGGAAGGATGGTATGAAATAGTTATCCTGAGGGTAAGGATGGGAGAGGAGATACTGGAAGCTTAAGGGGAAGGATGGTATGAAATAGTTATCCTGAGGGTAAGGATGGGAGAGGAGATACTGGAAACGTAAGGGGAAGGATGGTATGAAATACTTATCTTGGAGACTGGGAGCATGTGTCGACCAAAGAAACAGCCCGCTTGCTGAGCAGCTTTCAGGATGCTCTTGTGGTTAGTAAGAGTGGGCAGTGCAGGCTGACTTTCCCGCCATGCTCTCGGGAGAGGCCTGGGTAGGGAGCAAGCTCAGCACAGGACCAGTGCCCGGCACCATGCCAGCCACCATGGGCACAGGATGAGCGGTGCAGGACAGCTGCCCCTGAAGAGCTCGCTGTGCCGTGGGAGAGGCAGCAGCTAGCACCAGCCATGCAGGTGATTACGGATCACCACCATTCTGTGTGGCCCAGGGGAGACAGGGCAACGGGGCAGCAGGGCCCATGCGTCCTGGGTCCATGGGAAGGTGGCGATCTCTAATTATGAGAGGGTGCTGCTCAGCAAGGGGTGGGCACTCAGTGCTATTTCAGCTCTAGCTTTATTTTGCATTGTAAAAGTGATGCATGTCACACCAAAAGAAATTAGGAAAATGTTTTTTAAAATCATAAATAAAAAAGTAAAAATCACCTGACATCGCACCTCCCCCCGAGATGTAGCCATGGTTAGTTAACAAGTTTGTGTGTGTGTGTGTGTGTGTGTGTGTGTGTGTGTTTTGAGACGGAGTCTCGCTCTGTTGCCCAGGCTGGAGTGCGGTGGCGCGATCTCGGCTCACTGCAAGCTCCGCCTCCCGGGTTCCCGCCATTCTCCTGCCTCAGCCTCCCGAGTAGCTGGGACTACAGGCACCCACCACCGTGATTGGCTAATTTTTTGTATTTTTAGTAGAGACGGGGTTTCACCGTGTTAGCCAGGATGGTCTCAATCTCCTGACCTCGTGATCCACTGGCCTCAGCCTCCCAAAGTGCTGGGATTACAGGCGTGAGCCACCGCGCCCGGCCTTGTGTATTGTTTTTAAAGGACAGGTCTGATCCCTGCCCCCACAGCCCTGGAGGTCTGGCCTCCTACCGAGATGTGAATAACGCTCCTCTGCCAACTGCAGCTGAACAGTGTTGCCTTAGGCTTTGAGGGCCAAGGAGGCACCCTCTGCATTCCTGGGGAAGTCCAGGGAGGGCCACATGGAGGAAGTGGTCTAGGAATTGGATCTTGAAGTTCAAGGATCCCTCATGCCTGTATTGCTGTCTTTCCCGCTCCTGTATCCCCTCGTTCAGCACCTTTTAGGACAAGAGCAGCTCCCACCTTGTCCCACTGTGCAGCTGACAGGGGGGCACACTGCAGGGCCTGCGATGGGGAGGCCTGCCCTGTTGGGGGCAGGAAAGCAGAGGCGCAGCTCTTGCGTGGGCCACTCAGTCACGCCCCCCTCTGTTGTGCAGTGCACAGCCTGTGTGACTGTACATGGTAGTCATGTACGGAGAGTTCTTCCACCCACTATTTTGGCCCATGCCCTGGCCACACCGGAGCACAATGGAGGAGCAGGGCTACAAGCCTTACCCTCTCTCATCTGTGTCCCACTCCAGACAGCAGCGACGGTGAGCTGGAGCTGTCCACGGTGCGCCACCAGCCGGAGGGGCTGGACCAGCTGCAGGCCCAGACCAAGTTCACCAAGAAGGAGTTGCAGTCTCTCTACAGGGGCTTTAAGAATGTGAGTGTTCCCCATTCCCCGGGGAGAGGCCTTGGAGACCCGGGCCCAGGGAGACCTGGAAACTTCTCTGTGCCACAGTAAATATCCCAGGGGGCCTTGAAGCGGCTTCCGTGTTGTGGGAAGCTGTCTGGCGGGGGCAGGCCCCGGAATGGGCGTCACTGAGGCTGCCACGCTCCCCTCTCCGTGTCTCTGCTGCTGGTACAGAGGAAGAGGGTATGGGGGAGCAGTCAGCCCCTTCCTATTCACCCCTGCTCCCTCTCACCCCACCCCTGCCCGGGCTTCCACAACCCAGGCCAGGAGGTCTCAGCAGTGCCACGGGCAGCAGGCAGCCTCCAAGGGGGTGGAGAGAGGCCAGCCAGGCACCGTGCAGAGTCGGGCTTGGAGCTGGGGGTGGCTGAGGGCTGAGGGGGTGCCTTCCTGCTGCAGGAGTGTCCCACGGGCCTGGTGGACGAAGACACTTTCAAACTCATTTACGCGCAGTTCTTCCCTCAGGGAGGTGAGTCCGAGGCAGGGCAGCCCTGCTGTGTCCCGAGTGTGGAGGGAGGGGACCCTCCTGCTGCCCCTTGCATCCTGGAGGCTTGGTGCAGCCCCTGTCCCATGGAAAACAGGGACTCCAAACCAGGACACAGTTAGCACCCCCAGCTGGGGTTGCCTGGGGTGGGGGATGAGTCACCAGGCAGCCCCGACACACCCCAGCCTGTTCCTTGCCCTCCCCAGATGCCACCACCTATGCACACTTCCTCTTCAACGCCTTCGACGCCGACGGGAACGGGGCCATCCACTTTGAGGTAGGTCCTCCCGGATTCCTCCCACATGACCTGCCCCTGTGGCTGCCGGGCTGAATCGCTGCCCTGGCGTCGCTCTCAGGGCTGTCGAGAGAGCCATGGTCCTGGGTGGGAAGGATCTTGTGAGTCACCCTGGGAACGAGTGGATGTGGCTGGCCCTGGGCCGGTGAGCTCTGGGGTGTTTGACTTTGCTGGGCCGGTACCACGTTCTCAGCCTTTTCTTCCATTTGAGAGTTTGTATCCAGCTCTCCCAGTCAAGGGAGCCCCCGAGGCACACACGGGTGGTAGTGACCCAGCAGGAATTTGCATTTTCAAAGGGATCAGGGCTTAACCCAGAGGCCTGGTTTGCTGATGGTGGGATGTGCGACCTCCATTTTCAGAATTTACTCCTTGTTACCCAGAAAATAGGCCAGAAATATCTAGAAAGCTTCCCAGCCGGAACAGCCTCCAGGGCTCATCCCAGCTGGGCACTGAGAGTGAAGCCTGGAGTTACCCACTGGCGGAGGGAGAAGCCTATCCCCCACCCAGACAGCTTCCCTGTGGGGCCCGGCCGGGCTCCTCCCAGCCCCGCCACAAGGGATCGTTGGAGAGAGGCCCCATCTACGGAACCCAGGACTCTAAAAATAGCTGCAGGCGAAAAGCTGAAACCGCTTTGGGGAGGAAAACCTTGCTGAGAGCCAGCTTGATCGATATCCCGACAACTTGGCTTCCGGGCCAAGGGCAGCTAACAGGAAAGCACAGAGAAGCACATGGGGCCAGAAGGCCCCGGCCGCACGGGGTAATAATAACTCGTCGATAACCGGCGCGGGTTATTTTTATGCCGCGAGCCCGCTGGGCACACTGACGCTCCCCGCCTGCCCTGTGACCACAGGACCCCTCCGCTCTGAGCCACGCACCGAGGGCTCTGCACACAGAAGCCGACCGTGTTTTCAAATCTTGTTTTCAGATTTAAAATACCAACCCCACAGCACACAGAAAGCACCTGGTTAGCATGGAGGAGCCTCAGGGAGGACTCAGGGTCCTTTCCCTGCCCCTTCCTCCTGGGGTCTGCCAGAGGAGCCCCCCACCCAGCCTCCCACGGCTCCACCCTCACTGGGGCCTGGTGCCCTCTGGGGCTTCCTCCCCACTCTGCTGGGCTAGGTCTCCTGGTTCTGGGATCCCTGATCTTCCTTTCTCTTGCTTTCCTCTCTGTGTGTTCGGGGGCTCACCGCCCAGCCGCTTCCTATAAAAGAGGATGTGAGCTGTAACTTTGGAGCCTTTGAGCACTTGGGAGTATCTTTATTCTGTTCTTACTCCTGCTTGATCCATTGTAGGGACCAGCTCTCCCAGGGGGTGCTGTTCTCCTTCAGAGCGGGGGTGGCGTCGTGCCCTGGGCCTCCTGCCTCAGGTGCCCCTGCTGACGCTGTCCTGTGAATGGGACCTGATTTTGCTTTTTCTGTTTGGCTTTGCTTTTCTCTCAGAAAGTTTATAGGATCCTCTCTTTGCACCCAATTTGCTAAAATTTCACTATGATCTATGCCTACAACTAAACTGCAGGCTGTTTTCACACATTGTGCCAAGACGTGGTGGATGCTGGAGATCTCTGCTTCCAGTCTGGGAAATCGTGTTTTCTGATTGCTCCGACCCGCTCTCCTCCGTTTTCTCCCATTCTTCCCGAACTGCCTGTGTCCCAGCATCGGCCGCTCTGGAGTGCACCTGTCATTACTCTCTTTCTCCCCTATGTTCCAGCTGTTTGCCTTCTCATTCCACTTCCTGGAAGATTCCATTTGCTCTCCCAACATTTCTTCTAAGTCTGTCATTTTGCTTTCTTATTTTTAATTTCCAAGAGCTCTTTCTTTTTTCCAGTTACCCCTTTTGTATGACATCCTATTCTTATTTTAGTGATGCAAGATTTCTAATCTCTGAACCTAATAGTTGTTGTCGAGTTTTTTCTCCTGGGATAATTTTTGTTCTTCCAAATTGCTTTTCTCTGTCTCTCTCTCTCATGGTACAGATTTCCTCCAATCCCAAAAATCTAGCACTTGAGGGGCCTCAGGGCCCCGATGCATGGCCCTGTCCCTTGCACTCTGACCGTCCTCCATCCGACTTCGCTGGTACAGCCATTTTCTCACCGCTTTCTTTCCGAGCAGCCTGGGAGGACCTTTCACCTTTAAACCTTCCAAGAGGTAGAGGGAAAACCTGCTTTCTACCAACTGCTGTAACAAAACAGTTGAAGTTGTCACATGGAAACCATTCGAACTGTCATATTTTGTCACATTAGTAATAAAGTGTCACATGCCAAAGGCAATGGCCACACACAGCATGTCATGACTCAAGAGTTGAGCACCAGGGTTGGGCAAGGTGGCCCTGGAATTAAATCCCAGCACTTTTGAAGGCCAAGGTAGGAGGATTACTTGGGGCCAGGAGTTACAGACCAGCCTGGACAACATAGTGAGACCATCTCTGTCAGTATAAAATAAATTTGCCAGGCATGGATTACTCCAGGGGGTCCCAGCTACTCAGGAGGCTGAGGTGGAGGATCGCTTGAGGCTGGGAGTTGGGGACTGCAGTGAGCCGTGATGGCACCACAGCATTCCAGCCTGGTGACCGTCTGAGACTGTCTCTAAAAACAAACCACAAACAAAAAGCTGAGCATCATTCCTCTAGCTTTTTAGGCTAGAAGTTTTCAAGCACCTTTGCCATGCAGATGCTTGGCAGAGTAAACACAGAGCACCTCCTTTATTAACAGAGCACCCCCAGGCGTCTCCCGAGGCAGCACGGCATTAAACGGTCTAGGACACCATATATATTTGAATGTCTTTATCTGACCTCAGTATCAGCTACCATGCCACTCCTGACACACATGCAGACACATGCGCGTGCACCTGGCCATGCCGCTCCTGACACACATGCAGACACATGCGCGTGCACTCACCCAGGTGCACACACACACAGGTGCAGACACCCAGGTGCCCATTCACAGGTGCACACACTCACCCAGGTGCACACACACAGGTTCACACACTCACCCAGGTGCACACATCCAGGTTCACACACCCAGGTGCATACACACAGGTTCACACACTCACACAGGTGCACACACCCAGGTTCACACACCCGGGTGCACACCCTCACACAAGTGCACACACTCACCCAGCTTCACACACCCAGTGCACACAGTCACCCAGGTGCATACACACAGGTTCACACACCCAGGTGCACACTGTTGCACAGGTGCACACACCCAGGTGCACACACTCACCCAGATTCACACTCTCACACAGGTGCATACCCTCACACAGGTTCACACACTCACCTAGATGTACACACTCACCTAGATGTACACACTCACCCAGGTTCACACACCCAGTGCACACACTCACCCAGGTGCACACACACACAGGTTCACACACCCAGTGCACACACACAGGTGCATACACACAGGTTCACACACTCACAAAGGTGCACACACTCACCCAGGTGCACACCCTCACACAGGTGCACACCCGTGCATGCGCTCACACGCGGGCACACACTCGTCCTGTGCTGACCTGAATGGACGCCGTCAGTCTCTTAGGGAGGCTCTGCGCCTGTGGAGACGTGAATTTCAGTGGAAGCCACACAGCAACTGGAACTAGACCTGGGCAGTGATTGGATTGTCACGCCCCGCCCTCTCTTTCCCCACAGGACTTTGTGGTCGGCCTCTCCATCCTGCTGCGGGGCACAGTCCATGAGAAGCTCAAGTGGGCGTTTAATCTCTACGACATTAACAAGGATGGCTACATCACCAAAGAGGTAGTGGAGGGCTGGGGGCAGGGGCTGTCCCCTCCTCCCCTCCTGCTGCTCTACCCCCCACCCCTCTTCCTCTCCCTGCTCCTGCTGCCCTCTTGTCTTCTCCCGATCTCCATCCAGAGACTGGCCCTGGGGACAGCAGCCAGCGGGCTCTCCTCCTCTCCTGGGCCCTCAGTCCTGGACACCCAGGTGTGGAGGGTGGGCTCACGTACCCTGCACCACACATCTCGGTCCAGCTCAGCAAGTGTTCCGGTCATCCTGTCTGACACAGAAGGCCTGGGGGAGACTTAAGTGGAGAAGCCAGAGGTCCTGGCCTTGGCCCCCACCGAGTGAAGGGGGCAGTGTGGTCCCTTAAGGCATGGGTGGAGATGGGAGCCCTCCCGCACGGACCCACAGACAGGTTTCATTTGGTCCAAGCACTTTTTCTGCTACAGCGTCACATTTTGGAGATAAGCACACAATCCATCTCCCACTTCTCTGGGAGACGAGCTTCCCCTGGAGTCAGAAGCTCGCTCTGGGTGCCCCGGAAGCGGGAAGGCTCCTCTGTCCAGCTCGTCTGGCGCCTCGCACTCACTGGCCTGGAGGTGCCCTGCACTCTTGGATGCCGCCTGCTCCCTTTGGGCCCTCACAGCCACCCCAGCCTTGCAGCGGGCTCATGCCAACCTCCCCCTCCAGGAGATGCTGGCCATCATGAAGTCCATCTATGACATGATGGGCCGCCACACCTACCCCATCCTGCGGGAGGACACACCGGCAGAGCACGTGGAGAGGTTCTTCCAGGTGAGCGCGCACCAGCCCTGCCTAGGGAGAGGAACCGGGCAGAGAAGGGGCTCTCGCTTTTGGGCCCCCTCCCCCGGGCAAGTGCCTTGCCCCTCCAAGCCTCTCCACTCCTCATGAGGAGGTTAAACTTGCCCCTCCCATCTGGCTGGTTGTCAGAACCCCTGAGAAGCGAACTACACCGCCGCTCTGCCCTGTGGACCTCATCTGGGGGCCAGGGCTGGGATCCCGAGGCAGCTGACGCCGGGCCAGAGCTCCATGCCGCCTGAGAGCTGTATGGCTCCTCCAGGAAGATGCTCTGGGAGAGGAGCGGGTTGGGGGCCTTCACCTGTATGCATGGGGGTACAGGGGCCGCAGGCTTTGCCGCGCGCTTGCTGGGGCCACTAGACATGGGCCGTCCTGTGACTCAGTTGCTCCCTCTGCCCTGGCTGCCTCTCAGGGAGGTGAGTGTGGGGACAGATTCTGGGAAACCCAAGCCCAGGAAGGCTCAGGGAAGTGGCCTAGGGGAGCAGGGGGAAGATGCGTGGAGCCTCAGCAGTCGGTTGGGAGGTAGCTATGAAGGGTTCATTGTGTGGCCTGGATCCAGAGGAGTCACAGGGGACAAGTCGGAGTGGAGGGACCCCACCCGCCCATCCATCCACCTGTGACTTCTGCGTCCTCAGGCCCGGGGCAGGGCTGTCTCTGCTGGGGCACAGAGTCACCTTGGGCGTGGCTTGGGTTGCAGAAAATGGACCGGAACCAGGATGGGGTGGTGACCATTGAAGAGTTCCTGGAGACCTGTCAGAAGGTAGGCGGCACGGGAGGCCGGGCCACAGTTCTCTACAGGCTCTGCTACAGAGGTGGGTGGTTGGCAGCGCCCGCCCCTTCCCTCACCCCAGTCCCACCCCTGCCAGCCCAGGATGTGACAGCTGTCCTTGGCCCCTCGCCACCTCCTGGGCAGCCCCAAGCTCCACTTGCCCTCTTGTCTGAGTCTCCTCCTCCCCACCCACCCCTGTAGCCCACAGCATCCCCCCACTCCCCCCACACCCTCCCTCAGCCCTGCCCCTGGAGAGTCTCAAGTTAGGGGCAGACATGGGGCCAGCCAGAGGGAGAGGGTCACTGTGGGGAGGCACCAGGGCCTCTGCAGTGTTGCTGCTGGCCCTTCCAGAGAGCACCTCAGGGGGCAGGACGCTGGGCCTCCAGCACCTCCACTGCCCCACTCCCAGAGCAGTCCTGGTCAGCCCCCGCCTCTGCTGGAGGCCAGCCGGGGTCCCCTTCATCAGCTTGTCCCAGACGGGCTTGCAGTCAGGAGTCGGGTTGAAGACAGGCTGTGCCTCACCAGCCGGGGACCTCGGACCAGCTACTTCACCTCCCTGTCCCCCAGCTCCCCTCCACCCAATGAGATAGACAGACAGGAAGTTGGTGCAGTCTCCGAGTCCCTGGCGGGAATCTGCTCAAGGGGGTCGGATTTGGAGCCCACCTAACACCTGACCGGCATCCCTTCCTCTCTCCACGCAGGACGAGAACATCATGAGCTCCATGCAGCTGTTTGAGAATGTCATCTAGGACACGTCCGGAGGAGTGCATGGCCATGGCCACCTCCACCCCCAAGAAATCTCCATCCTGCCAGGAACAGCCTCCGAGAAACTTTTAAAAAATAGATTTGCAAAAAGTGAACAGATTGCTACACACACACACACAGACACACACACACACACACACACACACACACACAGACACACACACACACACACACACACACACACAGCCATTCATCTGGGCTGGCAGGGAGGGGCTGAGTCTGGCTGGGAGCCGAGTCCAGGAGCCCCAACCAGCCCTCCCCAGGCCAGCGAGGCGAGGCTGCTTCTGGGTAAGCGGTTGACAGAGCAGGTCTGCAGGCCACCAGCTGCTGGATGTCACCAGGAAGGGGCTCAAGTGCCCCTGCAGGGGAGGGTCCAACCTCCGGTGAGCCCACCTCGTCCCGTTCTCCATTCTGCTTTCTTGCCACACAGTGGGCCGGCTCCGGGCTCCCCTGGCCTCCTCCCCACAGCCACTCCCTACCCACTACCTACGCCTCTAGAAAGCCTCTTACCTCAGGACCCCAGAGGGACCAGCTGGGGGGCAGGGGAGAGGGGTGATGGAGGCTGAGCCTGCAGCTTTCTGGAAATGCTTTCCTGGGGGTCCCAGGACCCCCTGCCACTCCACTGACCTGGAAGAGCTGGGTACCAGGCCACCTACTGTGGGGCAAGCCTGGGTGGTGAGGGCCACTGGGCCCCATTCTCCCTCCATGGCAGGAAGGCGGGGGATTTCAAGCTTGGGGACTGGTCGTGGTGGAGAATCCGAGGGCACTCTGTCCCTCCACAGGGTGGGATGAGCCTTTCCTTGTCCTAGTCCTGGTTCAGTGGGAATGCAGTAGGTGGGGCTGTACACACCCTCCAGCACAGACTGTTCCCTCCAAGGTCCTCTTAGGTCCCGGGAGCAGGCACGTGGTTCAGGGACTGGCAGCCAGGGAGCCCGGGGCAGAGCTGAGGGGCCTGGGAAGGGGTGCGTCCCTCCTCTTCCTGCAGTGCCCCTCCTGTGGCCCAGCGGCTTGGCTGAGCCCCCTCTCCTGAAGCAGTGTCGCCGTCCCTCTGCCCAGGCTTGCCCCAGCCTTGCACAAAAAGCACAAGCATTCCTTAGCAGCTCAGGCGCAGCCCCGGTGGGAGCCCAGCACACTGCTTCTCAGAGGCCAGGCCCTCTTGCTGGCTGAGGCTCGGGCCCAGGAGCCCCAGTACGGTGGCCCTAGGGAAGAGGCCTGGGGGGTCTGCCCTGTGCCTGAGATCAGCAGGGCCCCAAAGCCCAGCCCGGCTGACCAACATTTAAAAGCACAAACCCTGGGGACTCTGCTTGGCGGTCCCCTCCATCTGGGGATGGAGAGTGCCAGCCCAAGGCTGGAGCCAGCGGTGAGGGCTGAGGAGCCTGCGGCTGGGTGGTCAGCGGAAACCCCGGAGGAGAGAGACGCTGCTCGCACCTGCCCGGGCCTCACCGAGAAGGAACCTGGTCCCAGGCCGCACGGCCCCTCCAGGAACATTCCCACATAATACATTCCATCGCAGCCAGCCCAGCTCCACTCAGGGCTGGCCCGGGGAGTCCCCGAGTGCCCCAGGAGGCCAGCCCCAGGGTGAGCAGGGCCCTCAGAGGCAAGGCGGTGTGGTGGAGGCCCCTCGGCATTCGGGCACAGTGTGGCCTCCCCCGCGGAGCTGCAGGGACGCCGGCTCCAGACTCCAGGCTGACCGGGGGCCTCTGCCTCCAGGAGGGCATCAGCTTTCCCTGGCTCAGGGATCTTCTCCCTCCCCTCTCCCCCTGCCCGGCCCTCCCAGCTGGTGTCACTCTGCTAAGACCAAGGCCTCAGGAGAGCGTCCCCACCACACCCCTGCCCCCATTGACCTCGGGGCCAGACTGGCTGCACAGCCCAACCGGGAGGGGTCTGCCTCCGGCGCTGGGACCAGACCGGCCGCATGTCTGCATGGCAGAAGCGTCTCCCTCGGCCACGGCCTGGGAGGGTGGTTCCTGTTCTCAGCATCCACTAATACTCAGTCCTGTATATTTTAATAAAATAAACTTGACAAAGGAGAGGGATTCCTGTTGGCTTTATCCCAGCTCTGAACTTCAGCTCAGCTTTTCTCACCCCTGCTGCCATCAGCCGCGGATCCTGCCCCGAGCTGTGCTGGTAAACGTTTGAGAGCTGGCTCTGGGGGCAGAGAACGCCCTTCAAATTCTCAGGCTCGCAGTGTGACCTCACTGAGGCTAAGTGAGGCTGAGATGCACACAGTGGGCCTTCGGGGCCTTCCTGGGAAGCGCCAGCCCTGGAGTCTCCACACAGACCCCACAGGGCAGGAGGACTTCTTGAGGCACCATGTGTATTTCACCCCCAGATAATTTTTCTTTCCCAGTTGTGGGAAGTCATTCTGGGTGTCCCCTTGGCTGGGGAGTGAGGGCCACGGGGCAGAAGAAAGCAGTGTTTGCCTGAACGTGTCTCCTGGTGTTTATTTTCAAAAGTATAAGCCATGTGAGGACAATGACGGAGAAGGGACAAGAATGAGAGCCCGGGGGAGGGAGAAGGAGGGGTCCCCAACTCCCCAGTTCAAATGGAAGAAATCCAAACACGTCCTAAGCAAGCAAGATAAAAGGGAACTCACCTAAACACGTTACAGTGAATTGCAGAACACCAAAGACAGATGACAAAGACAGCCAGAGGCAGACTGACGGCCAGCTCTCCTCAGTGATGGTGATGCGGAAAGACGGGGGAATGGCACGTCCAGTTTGCCGAGAGAAAAGTAACTGCCAACCTGGAATTTTACACCAGGCAAATAAAATATTTTCAATGTGGCACGGTGGCTCATGCCTGTAATCCCAGCACTTTGGGAGGCTGAGGCGGGTGAATCACCTGAGGACAGGAGTTCAAGACCAGCCTGGCCAACATGGTGAAACCCCGTCTCTACTAAAAATACAAAAAATTAGCTGGGCCTGGTGGCGAGGGCCTGTAATCCCAGCTACTAGGGAGGCTGAGGCAGGAGAATTGCTTGAACCTGGGAGGCAGAGGTTGCAGTGAGCTGAGATGGTGCCATTGCACTCCAGCCTGGGGTGGAATAGACTCTGTCACAGAATAAATAAATAAATAAATAAATAAATAAATAAATAAATAAGAGACTTTGCCACCAATAGATAATAAAGAAAAGTCCAAGGGCTTTACTTCATGTGGAAGCAAGGCGATCTCCCAGCTAAAAGGTCGAAGATGCAAGAAGCATGAAGGGTGTAGAGAGCAGTAAATATTGAGGGAATCTGAAGAAATGCAATGTTACTTGCAAAAATAGTAAAAAAAAAAAAATATATATATATATATATATATATATATGATTTCCAAAAATAGCTAATGCAATATTTCTAGTCTCACTGCTCTCCAGACCTTAGCACTTCCTCACCAAGAGATGGAGACTGGTTCTCCTGCCCTCAGAACTCAGTAGGACTTCATGTGACTGTCTTGATAACTAGAACGCGGCAGAAGTGCAGCTCACTCACTCACATGCTTGACAGTTGGTGCTGCTGGCAGTAAGCCCCAGCATCAGTTGGGGTTGTTGGCGGGAACACATCTATGGCTCTCCGTGTGGCCTGGGCTTCCCTGCAGTGTGGTGACGAGGTTCCCAAGGGCAAGTGTCCTCAGAGAGAACCAGGCACGAGGGCACGAGCCGTATTGCCTCGGATGACCTAGCCTCAGAAGTCAAGTTTCATCACTTCTTCCACGTTCTATTCATCAAGAGTCACATGAAGTCCTACTGAGTTTTGAGCGTAGGAGAACTAGTCTCCATCTCTTGATGAGGAAGTGATAAGGTCTGGGAGAGCAGTGAGACTAGAAATATTGCGTTAGTTATTTTTGGAAATTACACTGAATTCTTTTTTTTTTTTTTTTTTTTTTTACTATTTTTGCAAGTAACATTGCATTTCTTTAGATTCCCTCAATATTTACTGCTCTCTACACCCTTCATGCTTCTTGCATCAGCCTCAAGCACAGAGGACAGACAGAAGTTCCCCAAGCACCCTTGTGACGTAGTCACCCATCTGCCACAACACAAACCCCAGTTCACCGTTCACCTTGGGCAAGTCACACAATCTCGCTGTGCCTTGGTTTTCTCATCTGTAAAACAAGCACAAGGAGACAGCCTGCATGACAGAATCAGGCTTCAATGAGCACAGGATGTTCAGATAGCACATCCAGCTCCAGCAGTGGGGTTAGACCATCTCATGGCCTGGCGTTTGGGAACAGAACATTCCCTGCCCTGGCACTGCTTCTGCTAAACGCGGCTGCCCTCTGCCTCGATTCTGTGTTGTGCAGCATCTTCTCTCCGTAGGGCAAACTCCCACCACCCCCAGAGGAGTTGACTGGACTGAGGATGGCCCTTTCTGCTGGGCACGGCTTTCCCCTGCCAAGCCTCTCAATGGCCCATGGATTGGCTGCCCCTGGGACAGGGTCAGGGCTGGTCCCATCCGCTCTGGGAGCCAGCACTCCCAGGTCCTCACTGGGTGCGGCTCCCACCCAGTCAATGTAGAAGTCTGGGTGGGAAAGGGGCAAAGGCAGGGGAACCCTCTTGCTCCCCTCACCCTGCCCAGAGGACACAGAAGAGCTGTGTCCCCAGTCCACATCCCCTCCCCTCACCCTGCCCAGAGGACAGAGAAGAGCTGTGTCCCCAGTCCACATCCTAGGTGACTGCTTGACACACGCCATATCTCTAAAGCCTTGCAGCATCTACGGCACAGGGCAATGCTTCCATTCTGGAACTTTCCGTGTCATCTTCAGTATGTCAGTTTACCTTGCTGGGCCTCGGTTTCCCTTATCTGTAAAATAAGCAACGAGAACAACAAAATTCCTCTGCTAGGGCTGGTGTGATGATTCCGCGTACACATCTCCTCATCTCTTAATGAACACAGGCGTCCCTCCTTCCTAGCCACTGACGTGTGCCTGCATCTGTCCCTTTTTACGGAACGGTGACTCACACCGATAGGCCATCAGAGAGCGGACAGACATTTCAGAAGGAGTTTCCAGGTCTTGGAAACAAATCTGTGCTGCTCCCCAGTTTTCTTGGTAACCCCAAGGCCCATGTGGGGACCAGCAGGCTGAGGAGGGGTAGTCGGGGCCATCGGGCCACAGCAGGCCACTCTCACCGCGCGGAAATGGGG